AACAATTCCACTTCATATATACCTCATCTTCCAAACTCCAGAGTCTCATATCTTCTATGCGGAGTCTGAGTCGTGCACAGAGATAGTCATACACCTGAAAGTAATAAATACCAAACCAAATAATCTACAGGTGAATGACAGTAACACAAGTGGTGTGTAATAGATGAGTGATGTACAAATGTGAAATATGCTAAATTATGCGAAATTTAAATGATGCATGGATAGAACAAACACACATTCATGGGTCTGAATGTTTTTTTTACAGCCAGACAATCCTCCATACACCAATCATCATCATACATCACAAGCACAATAGCCAGGGGGTAAAATATTGCCTCAGATCTTGCTCTGTTTGGTGCCTTTGACATCAACTACTAGGTACCACTACATAAACACCAGAAAATACCACTACTTCCCAGTCAAAAGACAACTAACCTGTTGTAATGTGTTCATCCGACTAAAAGATGCCACATATGCCAGGTACCTTTTGGGTGGGGCATGAGGGGTGGTAAGAGAACTGGTACCAAAACCAAACGTACTTAATCCAAATCCAACCCCAGTCCATGTTGTAATTCCACCTCTTGTAGGGGGAGGGGCATGTCGAAACAGTCGCAGACTTATTGGGTATAGCTCTAATTCTGGGGTTGGATCACCATTTGTAGGAGTTATGACCTGTTTAACAAGCAGACCATTTATGATAGCATGGTAAAAAAGTGTATATTAGCCATAACTGAACTGTGTTGTGCACAACAAGCATAAAAAAGAAAAAAATCCACTAATCCTCCTCCTGTTAATATTTATCCTGATTTTTGATGAGTAATAAAGAAGCACTATTACATACAGTAGAATGCAGCATCAATCTACAATTTCTTGTGGGATCATATAAATTATGTAAGTGTACAGTGAAAAAGGACACAAACTTGTGCGTTAAAAAATTAAATTCATTGGCTAATTACAAAAATATGAGTTCTTTATGGTTGCAAAATGTAGACAAGTGATACAGTACCAAATAAGTAAGATTGTTGAGTGACACCACAATCAAGAAGACAACTAATAATATAATTTAAGTAACAATAGAGTTACCGTTCTTGGGAGAGCTGGTCCACCTCCATACCACTGCTGAAGAGCTCTCCAAACAGGTTCTGGTATGATCTCAAAGTCCCTTCCTCTGCATAAAGGAATGTTACGCTTCAACTTTCCTCCTTCGCCGGTTAAAATCATGACCTAGAGCAACAGATGTACTCTTGTAACTAAATCATTCTTTGAATTAATGATTACACTGTCATCTACTCCTGTTAAGAACAATATCATTACACATAAAGATTCTTCACATTAGTTTAATCAGAGGCTAATCAATTGAATTCAACATGTTTAAGAAGTTTGTTAGCAAGATTTTTCCTCATTCAATTCTTGACATAGTTAAGCACCCCAACACAGTTTTTTCAGATAATGCTACCTAAAAGAGTACATCTATTTAGTCTTGGATAAACAATTCACCACCTTATCATGTGTGTGGCTTAATTTTAAAAGAAAAAAGCTTACAGCACCAAATAAAAGATGTCAAAGCTCACCTTTCTTGTATCAGGTTCTACAAGTGGGACATTATCAACAGGACCAGGCACTTGTGTACCTAATGCTACTGCTCCTTGTGAACAGTGACCATTCATTGTCCCAGTTGGACTTACTGCCTTACTACTCTGGTTGTACATTGGATGAGATTCACGCCGTCCCAACGATCTTGTTTTTAAAGCAGAGTCACCACTCCAAGCTTGTCCTTGGTTGCCAGAGGAGGCATTATGAACTTGGTTTATTCTTGCTGGCAATGTACCATTCTTGCGAAGATTCCCTGTAGATGACCGTCTGATGTAAGGCTACAAAATGACAATAAAAGTGGTATGCAGATATTATGTGGAACTTAATCTAATCAAATATTCTAGAAAACAAGCTGACCATCTGGATGGTCATTTGAAGGTTTAACTACCACTCCTTGAGGAGGACTCCTCTATAAACAAAAGAAACAATGGCTAGACTGAACACAGCAATGTCTACAATGGGTAATTTCCAAACATGGGATTTTAATAAGGTGACCTCCATTAAGCTGTCTGCTCACAAGTTTTGATTAAAAGACCTTTGATTGTATTGTTAGTTGGGTATAATTTAAAGAATACATTAACAAACCTGATAACTGACATACTCTTTCCATATGCGCCACCAAGAAATAGCCACAAGATACCAAATGGTACCAGGATTGAGGTCATGCTGGTACTCACGCTCAAGCCAACCTCTGTAAAAACAATAACAGAACCCTTTGAATAACCAGTATTATAGAAATAATTTTTAAAGAACTAAATTAGTCAAGAAAGACATGTAAAAAAGTGGAAAAACATTTCTATCTCAAAACAGTGGCACAAACCTCACAACTTGAAGTTCTACTTCTCTAGTGATTGGTCTAAGCCCCAAAACAATGTGACATACCTACAAAACATAATATACAAATCAAATTGTAAGGCAGTCAACTTACACAAACAAGCTGCTGTTGTGAGAATCAACATACCACGACATCTTGGACACCCAAACATTACCATACAAGAAGGTAAGATCACATATAATAACTTTACAAAATTACTGACCTGGACCAATAACTTGGGAAACAGATGGGAAAATCTATGTGTAGATGCCCACTCCTTATACTCTTCTAAGCTAATTTGACCATCCTTATCACAGACAGAAAATTGTTTAGTCCCAAATATATTAATCCCCCCCAAATATATTAATCACCCCAGGGAAGATAAACACAATTAATGTTTTAAATACAAGGTACGTCTAACAGCTATATCTACTGTGTTCAGTTAAACAGGGTTTTCAGCTACAAATGTACTAAAATGCAGGAAAATAGTATAAATAGACAAAAAAAACACATGCAAAAGCTCCAGATCTTATGGAGAAAAAAGTCAAGGCATCATATTAAGCCAGAAATTTATCTACAGAAGCTGAAGAAATCTGTATATTAGCCAGAGAATTATATAATTCCTAATAAGAAACCTGGTGAGGTATCTTATATGTTCCTTTAAATGTTAGAAATAGAAATTCTGGATAAAATCAAGTCAACACCTGAAGCAAATGTGCTTTCAACAATCCTGTTGGTGGCTTACATACTTGTAACAAACAAGATCACTTTACCTCATCTTTGCTGCAATCACTCAGGATTTCAATTGCCATCAATGACACATCCTTGTCCCAGATGGCACTTGTATCCTAAGGTCCCACAAAAAATAACATTAAAGATATAACCTGAGTACTATGTTGGCCAGTTCAATATTCCACTAGTCTTGTATTACCTTTTCTCCAGCATTTTCCTTTCTGATGTCAATTAAACCTCTGCACATTATTTCAATTTCACTTCTTGACAGAAAGCCATCTCCATCAGCATCAAATACCCTAAAGCAGACTAATGGAAAAAATAAATTTGTTAACAACTTAAATACAGTTGCCTGTTTTAAAGGAGTTTTGAACTCTTGGTTCAAACAATTAAGTTACAACACTACACAAGAAGACACCATTTAGTACAAGGACGTATGATGTATGCAATCTTCATTTTTCACCAACATTGAAAGGAGTTCACTGTGGCGGATTAAAAGATTTCTCAACAAGCAATCATTTAGTTTTAATTTTTGAATGGCCATCTCTGACTCAGATATTATTTTCATCTCATCTGAAGTCATGACAACATAATTGAAAAAAAAAACCCACTACAAGTCACCAGATGGTTTGAGTTCTGAATGGAAAATGTACTTGAAATAATTTTAATACCTTTAAAGTTACTCACATTTTTGCCTCTCAGCATTGGATCCCCTGCAACATTTGGAAATTCCACATGCTAGCTCACGAAAATCAATGTGGCCATCTTGATTTTCATCAAAAGCATTAAACAATCCTTGGATAAGAATGTTACAAAAAAATTACACAAAATTCCATACTTTTTAGAAATTCTAAAAGGATGCAAATGATATCAGACTTCCAAAACATAAACTTTTGGTAGAATTTCTAAATTTTGGGATGTTATAACGAATTCTTAGGGATACAGGGAAGGGTGTTTAAACCCAAATTTTGGGAGGAATTTATGAATTAAACTAAAATACACTTTCCTAAAAGCTTAAGGCAATAACCAAAATTACCCCTCTGGGTAAAGATATGTCTAATTTTAGGATTAAAAAAAATTCAAAGTGCCATTGAATATTGCCAACAAGTTTTGTTCACTCACACCTGATGACTCAATGTTAGTTGTGGAAGTCTTAAACTTGGTATAATGTGGCCAGTAGTCTTTATCAAGTGTCATAACTCCTAGCACTTCTTGTTTTATCCTTGTAATATTAACCATAACATGTAGATACTGTGGTTCAATTTTATTCTAAGTTGAAATAAATTTCTTGTGCTACCAAGCCATTACCTCATAAACAACCCAAACTAACAAAAACAAATAAACCAACAGACTGCCAAAATGAGAGAAAATTAATTTGAAGGAAGAAAACAGTCCACCACAATAACTGTTAAGTTCTTAGATTCAATATGACTTTCCAGGGAAAAAAAACTACTGAAATGACATTGTATCATTCCAAATAAGTAATAACACTCACAGATTCAACACAAACCTTCACATAGACACTTTGGAATGGGTGGTGATACTAGTGGTGTGAATGTATCCAGATCAAATTTTCCAGTTTTTGTTCCAGCCTTTAGTATCCAATATCTCTTCTCCAGCTCCATAATATCTGCCTCTTGTACTGAAGCAATAAATATTCAAATTTAAATTAAGAAATCATTATTTCTCTCTTCAAGGAATGAGTTATGAAAAAAAGGAATTGAAACTGCCCATATTTGAAAAAATTATGATCACTGCCTTTGAGTTGATGAATTATTTACAAGCACAGATTTTATCCTATTGAACATCTCTAGCGTGGGGTGAGTAACTTCAGGATTTCACAAAGAGTTCTCCCACCCACTCACAGCTTGCAAAAACCTCCCATAAAACTCCAATACATCAACCAAATAAATCACTATTGTTAACTAGAAATTCTCATTGTATCAAACTGTAAAACTTACAGTGGGTAACACTGGCAAGTGTCTGGTAAAATGTTGGAGTCTCACTGCTATCAGTTAACTGGATACTGCAACCATTACTAACAATGAGCAACCATCTGGTAAGCGTAGTCACATCTGGATTTCTTAAAAGCCACTTTGAAAACTCCTCAAATGGTAGTCTATCAAACTGCAAAAGGAAAAAAATCATTGAGTATTTTGATACTAACCTGAATAAATTTTGTGTTTATTTTGCAAGGGAAAGTGTAGAGATTGTTTACATTGAGGTAAGTGAGTTTTGCCTTAAATTGCCCAAAATATATACTGATCAGCTCAGGTTGTAGAGCACCAATCACCCACCAAAAAGAAGTGAAGAAAATCTCAATGAACCAATTTCAATTTCAGTTCACCTAAAAAAGGGGAAAAAACTTAAAAAAATACAAAGTAAACAAAAATAAACATTTGAACACTAAAGAAAAACATAGGCACGGTATGCATGCAAGAGTTATTTTTTGGGGAAGGGTGAATTAATTGGAACGTTGTAAGTGATGTCTACATTTTTACAAAAGAAAAGAAGAATATTAATGAAGAACAAAAATGTTAAATTAACTCACACACAGATATTTTGTGGTAGATTGTGTGTTGTGCGACTAACTGTAACCAAAAATAAACTTTATTGGTGCCATGGATACTTGTTAGTACAAAATACAGACTGCAGACTGGATACAAAATGTAGACCAGGTGCAAAATGTAGACTGCAGACTGCGGAGTAGGTACAAAATCCAGACTGAGAATCTAAAGATTTTTTTCACCTGGTATGTGATAACATGTCATCTTACAACTTACTGAGTGTTATGCAATCCCTTTACCATGATCAGCTTTAACGATTATTTGCACTATTGTGTACAATTCCTGGCCCATTTCTTGATCAAAATTGATCTTAATATAATTTTAAGCCTTCATATAGTCTTCTCATTTTATGCATGAGTTGGTTGGTATGTCTGTACAGATTTTACCAATATAATAAAAGTAACAAAAGTAATAAAATGTAATAACATTATTTTGATAATATATTTTTATTACCAACATAATAAAAGTAATAAAAGTAGATGTATCATATTTACTCATGTATAAATTGACTTTTTAGGACCAAAAAATCAGCCCAAAAAATCACCCTCAACTTATACATGAGTCATACACATAGACCTGACCCAAGCAATCCAAGAAATTAGCATAACAATTGTCTGAAGTCCATAAGGAAAACTAATTTTATAAAACCAGTTCGAATTGTGTTCGAGTTTTATCACTTTTCAGCACATTCCTCGTCCACAAAAAAAATTTGAAATAATAAATTTTGAGTGGCTTAACACAAAACTACTAGAACTGATTTATATTGTGTCTTCGGATTGTAGAACAGTCATTTTTTCTAACAGCTTGGCTGTTGTTTACAGTGCTGAACTTTTGATTTCATTGAATGATTACAGTAACTTAGTAACCTGGCAAATGCCTTTGTCTCACATGGTCTTGCTTGTTACATGTGATCCTTCGAAGCTATTCAAGTGTTCCTTCACTTTACTCAAATTAATCTCCTTTCAAACTCAACATTGAGATAAAGGTTTGTTAAATGCAAGAAGATTCCATTTTCAATGTGATTTACAAAATATGGTAAAATACTTCTCCCATAAATCAAAGTGTCCTTGTGTGCTTAAATTGTGGTGATATAAACAAGTGCTGATAAACTTCAAAGCACTTGGTTGCATTTTGCTTTGCAGTTTTTTAATTCCCTGTGCTTTCAATACATTCCAAGAAATACGAGATTAACTTTTGGGAAATTTCTATCTATCTGAATTTTACTTCTTTGACTACAAATGATGAAAAACCCAATTTTTTAACTTAAAAACGGGGGTCAACTTATACACAAGTAAATACAGTAGATGCAAACAAGATGTCACTATTGAATATTTAACACATGTATGCAGTATTCGAGAAACAATTGACAGCTTTGCACATATTATCATTTTAAGTGGTACCTGTTTATTTTGTTGACAAAAACGGGGACCAAGACCTAAACTGTTCCTTTGACTTTTCAATGTTAGTAGATTACATCATATTAACTTATCTCCATAACTCATTCATTCCAGATAACAAAATCAAATAAACATGTCAGTGATGGTATCTGAATTTGTCCTTGGCCAAACACAAATGACTTCATAAGATCACTTTCTTCAGGCATCAAAAACATACACAAAATCATCCATAGTTAATTTTAATCAGACATTCATCTAGAGATAGCACTGAGCAAACCATTTTTAATCCAGAAAAATATAATCAACACACTCAACAAATCATGAATCTTGCAACAAAGCTTGCCATTGAAGAATTACTCAAATCAAAATGTTTGGTGCAATTCATCAACACCTCAAGCAATAATTAATTCAAAATTTTTCCACTCACTCTTGTTTTGAAGGAACAATAACCATGATCATGCTACAACACGCAGAACTCCATTTTCTCTTGAACAACTATCCACCATTTTCATAGCATGAGCAACACATTTACTATAGGTAATCTGATATCTTTCATCTGTCCAATAGTATCACATTTCTCATAAAGTGTGGTAAAATACACATTAAAAACACAAAAAAGCCAACATTTCTCCTTCTAAAAGATGACTCCGTTTTACGAACTGCTCTCTCCAAATCCCTTATTACTTAAAATCTTAACCAGCCATATTTGATCTGTGGATAAAGCTAGAGAACATGTTTATCTAAGTAGTTGCACCAATATTCAGAAGAGTTTCCAGGAAGAAGAATGAATGAATGGCATTCAGTATCACAAGTAATACAACAGAAACCACTTAGATGGAATCTGTTCTATGCCATCACAATTTAATACTTCTTGAAACATTTTCTGGAAAAATAATTTCAATTTAAGACATCTTGGTGACCTCGTGGAAAGAATTTCTCAAGAAAGCTTGACCTTTGGGCTTCAGCGGACTTGGTACACTTCAAATATCAGAAGTACAAATCAAGATCTTATTGTATTTCATCCGTTAAGACACCTTTAAGGTTTTCATGTCGAACTAAAAATGGAATCCTACATCTCATGCATGAACGCTGCTAACGAAACCAGTATTACCTCAGAGAAGCATTCCACGACCGGCTGAGGAATATTGCCTCCATCACAAGCAAGGATCAAACTTTCCATATTATCTTTGTACACGAATGCTCCGTCGGTTGAATAAATATTGAAAATAACTGCAAGGGAAAACAAGAGACAAAAAAACAAGACAAAAGATCACTAATCTTTGGCGGTGGATTATCAAACAGGATAAAAAGAGTAATGATTAATTCAACTGTTTGGGCATCAAACATATAACAAACTTACATTTTATCTTCTCTTCGCGTGTGCCCCGGGTTAGAAGCACAAGACCACAGAGCAAATCGCGAAATGTCATTCCCTTGTTTGTACCACCAAACGCTGTGTAAATTTGCTGAAACACAAAAGGAAATGTTTTCTAGGGTTTAAGATTTAAGCTTAAGGTAAAGAAGAAATCCGATGTAAAGATGCAATTCCCTTACCTCAGCCACTTTGTTAGGTACACCATCACCAAGAACTTCACGGGTAAACACCGGTTGGGGCATAAACCCACTGACACCGGAACATCGTTTGAAGGCCAGTCTAAGTCGTTGCATTTCATCGTCTGTAACTGAAGGAGTTTCAAACAAACAAAACGAAAATCAGCTGGAACATGCATCGAAACTTACTTAACCTGGTGAACAGGTCTTTCAATCGTGACAAGAAAACTTACCTCTCTTCGTCGCTTCCTCATAAGGGAGGAAGCAAAGTTTTGACTCCCTAAGACCCATATTGAAGTAGTGTATAAACTCCTACATTTTTCCGAGGTTGTCGTAGTCCCGATAAACAAAGTTACTAATAAACATAGCACCTTGCAAAGTCCTGATCCCGATAAAAACACTCACACACCTTCCTGATTCCTGCTCGTGACGTTCAAAGCCTCGCTTCGGCAACTGCTTCGTGTTTCTAAGCACTGTTGCACTGTGGGTAATATAACTGCGCGGGAGATTTGTACTCTAAGAACTCAGGTTTGTCTCCCAAAATTTTTGGCGATTTTATGAAACAGTGTATGTATATCTCACCATCAAGGAAGTTTATATTTTTTACCCTTCACTGCTCTTTTCCGATGCAACAAGTTTCCCTCCGAAGGGGTGGGACAATGAAAACACTGTGACTCCTTAGTTACATCATCTCTGTGTTTCCTTAACATCATGACAGTTTCAAGAGCAAATAGATAAAGGGGCAAGTTTCTAAAGAAACTGTGGTGCTGCGTCGGTGGGAGAGTATAGCAGGTAATTTAGTGTTGGTTGACAACTGAGTTGAAAACGTAAATTAGCCACCGTAAAGGGTAAAAAAGCTGACGTTTCGAGCGTTAGCCCTTTGTCAGCGCTCGAAACGTCAGCTTTTTTACCCTTTACGGTGGCTAATTTACGTTTTCGCAGGTCGGTAGAACAAAGGAAAGTCAACGCGACATCTGTAACGAAAAGTTTGGGTAGGTACATGTTCAAAAGACCGCAAAATAATTGACTATACACCGAATGCGCATATCGTTTTTTATTTAATCATTAGTGGCGCGCTCATTTTGATAGGTTCGGTTGCACGTGTCTATGTTCGCTACTTCTATACAGCCCAGTAATTTATGCCGGCATACTTCCAACAGTTCTTCGTCAAAACATCGAGACGGTAGAGTCCAAAATGAAAGTCAAAGTGCCACCGTGGACAGCTGACTCCACCTGTTTGATTCTCGTAAGATTCTCGTGGGAACAGTGTCATGACAAGAATAAGAGTAAGAAGCGCAAGGGGCAATATTGTATACAAGTGATACCTAGTACTGTTTCTACATGAAGTTCACTTCAAAAAAGAGTTCTGATTTCAAGCAAGTTACGACTTCTAAATTACAAGGAGATATGCGAAGGAAATTGCGGCTCATGTTTCCACCATTCAAGTGGGATCCAGGTATCCTTGATAAGAAGACTGAACATTAATGCATTGTTTTCTTTTTTTGAGGGGGGAAGAGGGTGGGGAAAGGAAAGGAAAGTGGTCCAAATAGAACACACTAAATGCTCACAAGAGAGATACAATCCCCCATAACACACACACACAAAATACACAAAAACATATAATAAGCATGTCACCATGATCCAGTCCTCAACCATATTTTGTCTATATTTTTGTGGGGCAGGGTCTTGTATGTCTTTATAAAAGACGCACTCTTACCGAAGAGAACACACTCTAACAACAAAAGAATGCATTCTAAAGAGAGAACGCACTTTAACTAGGTAAGAATGCATTCTAACTGAGAAAGAACGTAAAAAGAGACAAGAAAGAAAAGAGGAATAACGGCCATATCCACATGTAGCGTTAAACTCAACCAAAGGGATGCTGTGGAAAATAATTCCACAATTACAGAATTTGCTCTAATTCTACTTTAATATAGTAATGGGAAAACATCCCCATAAGAGTTGCTCGGGTGTCAGGGAAATTTGCTCATTATCTAACGAAGGTGTGTCACTGAGAAAGCCTGTTCCTTAATGTTCACTACAGGAGGCGGGTAGGGGCGGAATTAAGAATACCGTTTGTAATAGCTGTTTTGTAGTCTTAACTCTAGACGGTGGCCAATTTAAGTTACATGTATCAACCCAGTCGATAATACCAAACTACCTTGTTCCAATCTGGAATCACTGAGTCAACATTATATTTCTGTCTTTTTTTTCGCGTAAAAGTTTATTTACGAGTATTTTACGATCGCTATAATATTTAAATTAGTTGGGTCTCCACATCTGATGATTAGTAAGAGGCTGATCAGAACTTGACAGAATCAAAATCATGAGAACCGACACTTTGCTGCAGGTATTCCCCATAGAGCCGATCCTGAAATTACAAGGACATTTCAGTATTCAGTCAGGGAAACTAATTCTCTATGATGCACACAGGTCAAATAACGGTTTCTACTTTCGTGCCAGTTCTCTTAATAGAAAATAAAACGCTGTTAGTTATCTTCCGCTATGTTTTCCCTGCTTTTTTTTCTAACCCACCTTGTGACCTTTGACATATCCTTGGACGTATGACCTTTGCTCCAATAACGTCTTCTTCTGTTTCCGTGAAAGTGTTGGTTTGAGTCTGGAGCAAAAGGAAGGGAGACAAACATAACTACACGTAAAGCACAAAATTACTTTAACATTTGAGTCATACACACATGCAGATAGAAATTTTTGGACAAGAAGTTGTCAGAAAACAGCCATCACTCCTGTTTGTTTCTCTCTCCAATTGACACGAGGTGGAGAGTAAAACAAAACCAAATTGAAAACATGCCTGTTACAAATTAATTTAGTCTCATTATGTGCTTAGCACATTTGGTATAAGGAAGTCCCTTAATTCTAATACTCTAAACTTTCCTTTATGTCATAAAATATGAGATTCCTAACAGGTCTTCCACTTTCACAAGGGTTGCAGCAAGGAATAATCAACTCCAGCACTTCAGTAATTCAGTTTAAGTGAAGGTTTCAAATTAGGAAAGTCAACTGACACCCACCTGGATAAAAGCTTTGCAACAATCAGCAGCAAAACTGAGAACAAAAGCATTCCTATGAGGGTGTGGTTATGATGCTGAGCTGGGATTGACTGCCACATTTTTTCAACAGGTGCCTGAGAGTAAAGAGATTTCACACATCAGCCTTTTTCATAATTTTATTATGACTTAGAGAAATGCTTTGACTTGGAGATCTCATTAATCTGTTGTTTTAGACAGTCTATACTGTGTGAACACATGAATTAAGGCCATTGCCTCTCCCCTAATTTCAAAAAGAATAATTTCAAACTGTCTCCTTTTGTCCCTGACTTGCTCTTTTTTTATAATCTGTTACTACTCTTTATGCCCCTGTACTAAGCACACCAGGCCAAAGATGAATAAAGTAAAAAAAGGAGTTACTCTTTGCTACAAGGAGGAGCCAAGTGGATAAGAAAGAAAACCATAAAGTCGCTTAAGTCTCACTTGAAAATTACATGTAAACTACTGAGGCCAAGTCGACAAAAACAAAATACACAACACATCTTATAATTGAGGGAAAGTTCATACCCAGGCCCCCTAATTTTCCCAAGCTCAATATCTGTAAGTAACTTCTACAAAAAAAGAAACAGTACTCACAGTGTAAATAAAGAGTTTTTCTGCCCTTTCTTTTGCAACCAGTCCATACAGAGTTTCTCTTGCATTGCTACTTGCTAGGAAGTTAACCAATAAAACAAAAGGGAGAAGAACACCCAACAAACCAAAAAATATACCTTTCAATCTTGCCCAGATATTATGCGAACAAGCCTCCCTGTAAAGAAAGATAACAAAGAAGAGTTTGCAACTTTTTATCTCGTGTTTTGTGAAAGGGTTGGTAATAATATATCTGAGAGCAGTCATTTTGGAGTGGATTGTGAACAAAACCAAAGAAATCACACCCACCAATCAGAACAAAAGAAAAAACTAGATGGCCTGTGATAATTCTAAGAAAAACCAAGCAAAATACACAAAGCACAGAAACATGTGAGTGACCATTAGTTGTGGTGGTTTTAATCTTTGTTAGTTTTTATCCTGGTTAAAAGGGTACCAAAAGTTTTTAAGATCAATTACAGAGCAAAGTAAAGCAAAATCAATGCACTCTTGGATCCCTCTAGACACTAAATTGAATATTATGCCCAGGTAGTAAATCTCTCTCTTAGAAGGAATACTAAATAGGGATCTGAATATCCAAAACAAAGCAAAAAATAAAGCAGGTCTTGTGGAAAGTACAAACAAAATTCTTTCTTTGCATGTTGGTGGCAAAAGATAGCTATTGCTACTCACATATCAAGACTAAGTTTTTCATCCACCAAGTCCGCAATTTTCTCACAGTCTTTTTCCAGTGTGTTAAGGGTGTTTTGTATTGTTTGGTTAATTGTCTTTTCAATTTCTTTACAGACTTCTTCTATTTGATTGGCACATTTAGCTGGCTACAAAGGAATTAACAGAAATAATAAAAAAGACCAAAGAAATTCAAGGCAAAAGGAGTACTATACTACTTCTTGCAAAATTCTAGGACTGAATTGTTGCATAGGTAGATACATATCTGCAACATTTTGTTAGCATCCATACAAATACAAATACCAATACTTTGATAATAAGGTTTTGCTTCAGTGTCTGTATTGACTGGAATTTTGAAGAGTGAATTTTCAGTAATTCATAGAAGATATGGTAACATTTTAGCTAAAGAACTCTCTCCACTATGAAAATGTGGTCATAATACCCTAACATTTAGATTGACAAGATTGTTACACAGAGAATTGCACTAGATGCATTTTGTAGTCAATCAAAGTTGTAATGGTTCTTTCTCTTTCATTAAGAGACAAATTATTTAGTGATTTTTAAGGTGTGAATTTAATACAAGTTTCCCATGGGAAATGCTAGGTTAACACTTAATATGTTAATTAATTCAGAGTTTGTCATAGAATATTTGTTTGCGCCTCACCTTGTCCAGTAGCGAGGGAATGTAAATAGTCGGCATCTCAAATCCTGCTTTGTTAAGTCCTGGCCTTTTACAAAGCTCCTGTGTTATCTGCATTAACACTTTCTACTCAAAAACAAAAGAAATTTAAAAAAAAAAGAAAAAAAAAAAAGTAGAATTAACCATCAATTCTCTCTATTAGATGCTGTACACTATTTTTTTCAGAACTTTAGTTTCAACAATCTGATGCTGAATCAAACAATAACCCCTGATTGGCATTTTTCTATCTTTTCATAACTTTTCTACCTGAAAACGTGTTGATATGGTGACGAGAAATCCCTTTTTGATCACTCCTGGGGGTGAATCTACAAGGAGGCTAATTTCTATGAAATAAAATCCTTATTGTACTGACTTTCCATGTTTCTTTGCATAGCAATTTAAAAGCAACTCTTCAGTAAAATTTATTTCAAAACACAAGATAGCCTCCATATATTTTTTTGGATAATGCATGCATCATGGCATACCTGCCTGTCACTTTCATGTCCTGCAGTGTCTGCTTTGCTCAAGAAAAATCTGATTCGATCTCCTTGCTTCTCATTCATTTTTTCTACCATGAAACACAAGTCATTTAATTATAAACAAAACTGAAGAGTAAAAATAGACATAGTAATGACTTAAATGTGGGTTTCTTACCAACTAAATTTAAAGTTCTCTTGCAAAGAGCTTGCCCAATTGGATCAAAGAACACAAAAATCAGATCAGCCAGATCACCTGGAGAAAGACAAAATATGTACAGAGTCTTACTGCAAGGAAAAGGAAAATGTGGAGCAAATACAAGGAAGGAAACTGTGTGTAAACCCTAATGACTCTATGTTTGATATTGCATGCTCTTGGTGAGTCTGTGATTTGCTTTCATGAGGAAAACCAGGTGGTAAAACTTTTTACCACTTGATCAAGAACAGAAATGACACTTTACTGTTTAGAACTTGATCTCTCTGGCCATTTTTTAATAGCTGCATAAAGCTCCTCTCAGGCCACTGAGATGTAATCTTTTTCTCTTCAATGCCATAGAAGAGGGAGGGCTGGACTGGACTTTAGCATATCGGATGATTTTGTCCTATTACATGTAACTGCAGTGCTTTTTTTTTTTACCAAAGATGAAAAGATCGATAGATTTGTAAAGGCAAGTAACAAGAATATCTGAAAAATCTGCTAAAACACCTGGTGTTAAGATCTTAAAGTCGGCATGGATTCAAAACTCACCCAACCAAAGGATAGACTCATCCACATCAAATGCATACTTCATGTCCCCATCAACAAGGCCAGGAGTATCAACAAAAGTCACGAGGCTAAATTTCTTCTGCTTTGACGTAGAAATTTCAGTTGTCAAGTAATCTACAACACCTGTTGAGAAAGATACCAATCAAAACACAAGAAGTGAAGACTGTTTAACAAAAAGCTGATTGAAATGCATTATCTATTTTGAAAATTTTCAAATTAAGTTAATTTTTTTCTCCTTTTGAAATACTTCATACGCAGGCATCATTTCTGAGCTTTAAACAAATTGCATACTCCTGACATCACTAATTATCATTTTCCTGGACAGAAAATTCTTCCATTCTACAACATCTCCTTTAATTTGAACTATTTTTTAAGCTCTCAAACTAAGCCATGTTTTCTCAAGGTAACAGAAATTAAAAATGTGTAGTCACTGATCAGAATAAATAAAATGGTGTTGCACTATTACCTTCAAGATCCTGTAATGACTTGAAGTGAGGATACAGATGCAATGTGGCATTTCCCTGTTTATGACAAAAATATTGTACTTGATTACAAAATTTATAAAGATAGACTGATACTTAAATAGAAACTAATGCATCAAATATTACATCAAAAACAAACTTAGCAACAGCAACAAAGAAACAATTTAATTTGAAAAAGTCAACTTACTGTTAGTGATTCTCGTTTCTTTCCACTTGTAACAAAAGTAAATCCTTGGGTCTCTATTGCAACACCAGTCTTCTGCACATGCTCTTCTACGTACCTGGTTTTATGAACAAAATGAACCCTCCAAAAAATCTTAACTAGACCTTTCAATGTATCATTCAATCAATCAGCCAATCTTTCTGTAAGCACTATAACAAAGTTGTTGTTTTAAAGTTTTCTGCCTCATCTCTTTTCTATGTTTTTCAGCTGTCTTAATTATAAATTGAATGAAGTAATTGAGTTTGTTTTCATTTTGTGAGATTGAACATTACCCTTTGCAATCACTTGTTTAAGAAGCAAACATATAACCAAATGGCTGATAAGGGACTGAAATCTAACTTAATTTAATTAATTTCATTTTAGCATTACCCTTAATGGAGGTTGCCAGAATCAAGTTAAGAGTGAAAATGAATACAGATCGTCCAGGATCTCCACTTCTTTTCAATGGAGACAGGAATTATCAAAAAGAGTTTCCCCTTGCGACATGAACACATTTATCTAGCAGAACGGTAATAAGAAGAAAAACCATCAGCTTTGCAACTGTTCGATTTTACACCAAATTTTTATGCTAAAATTATAAGACATGTATAGCAGACAGAGCAAGAATTGATACTTCAATCTTGAAATAAATTGCTGAGTTACGTACCAATTGATAAAAGAACTTTTCCCTGCAGAATGGTTTCCAAGTAGCAAGATTGTAATCTTCTTTCTTGGAGCCAGTAAATTTAATCCCAAGCCACTCGCAATAGTGATAAGACCTAAGAAACAGTAGTAACAAAAATCGTGACCATCGTTTCATGGGTTTCCTCGAAAATAAATTCCAGCTGGACTTGTCCACGTCGACACCACAAACACTAGGCCACTTTGGCAGATACTTTACCCCTCTCCTTCTCCGTGTACAAATCATGGCATTCTTTCAGGATTTTTTCGTTCAACGTCACAGCAGATGTGTCAAGAGCATTCGCTGAAGTCCTTTGTCGTCCTGACGGCATTTTCCGTCTGGGAGATCAACGGTTCTCACTGCGCTGTGATCCTCAATTTCTCAAAATGTGCCGGTGTTCAGTCTCACCACTGCAGTGCATCATGGGTATTAAAATAGAGCACTTATCAGAAGACTTCTGGGCCCAGTTGTATAAAGGAGGATAACGCTGTCCAACAGATAAATCGCTATCCGGTGGATAAGTGATAGCAAAACGTATAGCGTTATCGACCGGATAGAGTTTTATCTAGTGGATAGCGTTATCCAACCTTTGAACAACCGGGGCCTGATGTAAATTTCCGACAGCAATAAACTCTATTGTTTGAGTAATAATAACGTTAATGACGAGATTATGAAAATCAAGTAGAAAGCATGTTAAGTGTGATGAACTTCGCGGAAAACTGGAATTCACCATACTCATATCCGTCACACAGCAAATTACAAGTCATCTACATTCTTTCTTCTCAATGCCTTTCCCGATGCTAAAAATTAATAAAAAATTGTTCGTTAAGTCAGCCCTCTTGAACTTGCTTGACTTTCCATCTAGGGAAGTTTATTTTTAACATTTAACGTCGATTAAGAATTGAAAATAACCACATTGATAGACAGGGTAGTGTACTGAAAATAAAAGTACTTGTACCAAAGTTAGTAATGTTGCTGTAGGACTACTAATCGATGTGAAAGTACTGTAATCAAGTAACATGATTTTAGCAACTCATTAGATACTTGATCGATGAATAAAGACAGAATATAGAAAACAATTGAAGAGTGAGTGTCCCCACTAAATGAACAAACAATAACAATAATAATCCCAATTTGTCATAAATGAAACTGGCTTTCACTTCAGACATAATTTCGATGTTCACCGTTATCTGAATTAGACAGTTATCCTAATCATCGACTAATTATCTAATGATTTGCATAATTAATCACAATCAGTGCTCCTTATGCAAAATAAAACTATCATAACCTGACGTCATTGAGATAAACGTCCTACGTCATATGACCAGCGCGCCATTCGAATTTGTAATGCACGTGGTGTTCAGACATGTCGCCCACAACAAGAAAACACCAGAAAAATTATATCCCACACGTTCTCGAAGCCGTGAAAATGCTGCAAGGAAAGGATCATGGAGCCTCCACCAAGAATATTTTGAAATATCTAGAGGATAAGTTAAATGATGAAATGAATGGTGTGAAAATTTTGCCTTCACCAGCTGATGGAGTGGTGAAATCCGCCCTCAGGGAGGCTTTGAGTTCTGGTCTACTTGTTCATTACAGTGGGGTTGGTTTAAACGGATCATTCGTATTACCACTGCACTCCAAAGGATTAAAAACAAAAGATATGGAAGACATGAAACAACAGGACAAGCAGAAATCTGTCATCACAAAAGAAGCAAAGTTGCGAACGATTTCTTCGCTGGCAAATAAACTTCAAGAAAGTGCTCGCCTTCAAAAGAAACCGGCCAAGGCGGACTCTGCCTCTAAACGTCGGCGGATAACCAAGCTTCAGTTGCCAGTTGGCGATCTTGAGTCAGACAAAGAAGATCAGTTTGACACTGGAGAGAATACAACAGCGTTAAAAACAATCTTGAAACTATCGCGTAAAAGAAAATTTACTGGTTCTAAAATCAAACGAAAGAAAGTTTCAAGAAGAGTCAAATTTCGTTCGCCACCCCGGGTAATTTTCATAACACCTTGCATTAAGAGACGATCCAAGCGCAAGAAGGCGGAGTGACATTAGCGGTAATCGTGGATATAAAGCTGGAGGGCAGATAAAGGTTTTAAGGCAAACTGTAACCGAAGTACAAAGTAACAAAGAGTAAACTTTAATACCAGGGCTGATATAGAAATGGCAGTTAAAAACAAAGTAGCTCAAAGTATGTTCTGCTGTTTTGACAAATTATGTTCCATGTTGTGTACCAATGGCTACTTTCCTTTTCTTTGCATGAAGAGTAATTAATCGTAACAGTAGACCGAGTCAGCCCTTTTGATTCATGCTACATCATCTATGAGGGAAAGCTTACCTTTGATGGATACTTCATCCCCTCCCCTCTCCTCCTATCAAATCCATTCCTAAATTTACAAGTCTGTTCTCATTTGTGTCATGTTGGGTTTGTTCATTTAAAAAGTTCACCGTTTGAAAAGAAAGCTCAGCTTTTATTGGGATGATGAGAACTGAAAAATAAATTTTTCTAGTGGGGCCTTGAAGTCCACAAGTCTTAAACTTTACTCCAGATGTTCACCTTTTTCAAGTGATATTTTTACAACTTTAGCCACTTGTCACAGGATTTGAACCATGACTTTGCAAGAGAGACTTCTGAAGATCAGATGTTTGTTTTTATTCCCATTATCACTGGATTTAAGCTTGTCAATGAGCTCTCTGACATGTGACATTTCAAAGCTTTGCCTACAGAACCACTCCTAAATTTAATAAATTATTCTTAATGTAACTTTTTATCCTATATGATACCAGTTTCCTAAAGTCCCTGAAATGTTAATAAAGAACCTCATTTTTGAATATGGCAATTTGTTGTACCACCTGATGCTGTGGTATTAACCATCAGATCAAATGTAGATGAGAGGCACAGAACTAATCAACAAATACATGACACAAGATATCAATTAAATGAACTGCAACAGTAATACTTCTATTTTCAGTTTTATAGCATTTCCCTTCAGATAAAACTTGGTACAGGGTACAATTTGGCAAATTGACAAATGGTTTTACCATTGTTTGTATGGAGCTAAATAATAAATTTCTTTCAGGCCACTAGACATTCTACCATCAGTAATGTGAGCCTTGTCCTCCCTCCTTACTTAGAAAGTTAGAATGTTGATTGGTCTCAAAATTAATTAGAGTAAATCTATAAATCTCAGAGGGATAAATATGTTAGTTTTGCCATGTTGAGAATCATAAAGTGATGACCAAGTCCCTTTTGATTGGCTTGATTTTCACTGCAATTGATTTTATTCCAAGTCAAAGAATAACACTTAGATAGTTATGCCTTAAACTTCATTTCATGGTTGCTCCCACAAAGGCATAAGGCTATCAGTAGTTTTGTCTCACTCTTATACTGTATTAGGTAAACCCTGATGTAAACTGAGAGCCTCTGAGCTCACACACTGCCTGAAAGTGATACTTGCATAAAGTGAAGCTGGATAAGAAAGTGAAGCCAGATAAGAAAGACGCAAAATAACTAGGGAAGACAAGAAGGAAATGTTTACTCCTCAGCCTTTCAATTAATTATATTTCACAACTATCTATTCTTCAAGTATTTGTTCAATCAGGATATGGCAGGTTTCTGATCATTTTTCTAATTGTCCTTAAGTTTAATCTTATGGGCTCTTGTAATACCATGACAGAGCACATAAAAAACAATAAGTGCCCCTTTACAAACAATGTAATGGCTGTCTTTCTATCACATGAGGATATCATTTCTTTATTTTGGCTGAAAGGGGTTGTGAAGTTAAATAAGCCCAAGATAAATTTTCCGAAACAATTTACAAAATGACCATTTGAAAAAATAAAGTGTGTTTAAGGAAGCCAGTTACCAAAGTTAACTTATTCTATAAGAAAACGATTGAATCAATTTATGAAATGATGCATATTGAAAACAAATTTATGAAGATCTTTATTTCAATCAATCTTCTGTTGCACACATTTAGTAGAAAACATCAAGTGTTAACAATTGTACTGTAAAAATTACAGAGACAGAAAGATTCCAAAAGTGTGTTTCCTTATTAAAGATCTTATTAAAGATGAAACAAAGATTATAGAAACTAATAAAGGCACCACACCATAGAAGAACTGAAGATGTGGTCAAGGAAAGACGTACTTTCTGCTTATCCACACACCCTGAAAAATTAAATTGTATGCTAACATTGTACCTCTAATTTCCCCTCTTGCCGCTCCTATCAATATGAAATATCAAAAATGATATGATAACTTAACTCTGTTACTCTTAGCCTGAGTGAGCAAGATTTATTCTGCACATAACTATCTGAAAAAGTCATCTTTTATTTAATGTTCAATTAAATTATTTAAGATGAATGAGCAGGGAATCTTCATTCTTTATTGTAATTTCCATTTATATAATACACCTCTACAATTTAATTTGTTTAAGTATGTATAAAAAATTGAATATCAGAATATACAGTAAGGCAAGGAGACCATAACAAGAACATTTGCACAATGTCTCCTCAAAGAAATTCATTCCCACTCAAAATTTGTGTAACCAATGAATGTAATGTTCTGATAATGTCAGGACCAAGTTGTGTTTTGTCTAATACAAACCTCCATATAATGAAGCTTAGCCATATTAATAATAATCATGATAGCATGATTAAAGAACAATGATAACTGTAAAATTCTACCCAACCCCAACCTCTAAGCGAGGGCAGAATCAATGCACCTGACTTAATATAATAGGTTAACCATGATCATGGATCAACAATGTCAATTACTAAATGACTTGTTTAGTAAACTATTCGTTGGCAATTTAGTCCAAGGTTTTAAACAAGCACTTAAAGAAGTGTTCATTTCTTTCCTACATTTGCTAGATCATCTACTTACAAGAGAGGCAGAGAATGCTGCCCCTCATCACAAGAGAAAATTATCCATTCAGATTCTTTCATGAATTCATAGAAAGTAAAGAATCAGCTAAAATGTTCTCTTTAGCAAGAAATAAAACTGTGGGGTTATTTTGTACTCTTTCTCAAAATTAACCTTAACCTGAACTTCCACAGTACACAAGTCCACAACCATTCATCTCTGATCATCAGCCAGGGTTGTGTTGTAGAATGTTGAAGAAGAATCCTTGTTTAGTATAACATAGCAGCTGTCACACACAGGATGCCACTTTGATGCTTTACTTCCCATCACAGACTTGGACAAACACTGTTCACAGAATATTTTACCACAATGATGGCAGTTTTGCTGGGTTAGAAAAATAAAAAACATTATAATAAATAAGCAAAGTATATTTTATTGAATAATGTGATAGTTTTTTCACAAGAAATGTTTTGGTCTGTATGCAAAGAACTATTTGTCAGACAGCCTGAATTACAAACAAGGCCACCTTTCCCAAAAGGAAAACTCTTTGTCTAAAAACTATATCTTTCTTGAACTGATTGTCAACAAGAGTGAAACAGCAGTTCATTTATACTTTCACCCACCTTATCTTTGTTTGCTTTCAATACTTTTTGGCAACTTTTACATTCTTTAATGTCATCAGGATACTGCCAGCGAACATCTGTTTCTGATTCATGAATTTGAGCAATTTGCATCTAAAAAATTAATCAAAAACAATTTCTCTCATCATTGATAAAGATATTAACACAACTGAATGGAATATGATGCAATGGTTGATCCTGAGGGAGGCACTGGAAAAACAAAAACACGCTACAGGGTATAACAAGAAATCAGCTGAGCATCAAAACCATTGCTCTTTATTAACTGTAATTTGACCAATCACCTGTAAAGACTGGGATAAACGCACAAAGTCTCTCTGAACGGTCTCACTTTGGTTTAGTTGTTCAGTCATTGCCTGTAATTGGTTTCTCAATTGTTTGCTTTCCTCTTCTGCCCTAGTCTGCAATAAAAAATGGGTGACATTTTCTTCACTAAGATGATAACAAGTTAACCAGAAGTTAGTATCACAATTATTGTATTCGATTGAATTTACTTTAATACAGCTACTTGGGTTTTTTTTTATGTGGAAATGCCCAACACCTGTTTTGGTCTTTTCAACTCCATACAAAACACCAAAAGTTTGCATTTAAGTTGATGAAGCAATTCATTGGGTAAAGCTGGAATTAATTTTCAGCATGATGGAGATGTCATGCAACAATGACTTCGTGATAAAATGCTCTGAGCGCTGCATGAAAAAAAAAAATGCTTCAGACATTCTTAAGAGCTGGGACAAGATGCTATACTACAAGTTGCAATTTCCTTATGCAATGATTTGCATACTGCCTTAATGATGGAGCACACACAATCAGCAAGGAATTATGATGGAAAGAACACTTGGAAAAGGATGATAAAACTAAATTAAAATTTTAATACCTTTTCTGCATTAACTTCATCCAGTTGTCCTCTAAGAGCAATGATGACTTGTTTAGATTTGTCTTCTGTGTTCCTTATGGACTGACCAGACATGTTAAGCCTGGCCTGTGCCTGTGTATCACACCAACATAATTTTAGCACCCTAACTAGGCAGTCATTTTAGATCCCAGTTGATCAAGTTGTATAGCATCTGTCTAGACTGGTGGTTATTTTAATAAAATCTCAAGGGTCTATCAGTCGAAACCTAGTGACTTAAAGTTGACAGTAACACTAAAATGTGAACCTTACAACTTTTTGGTGTTCATGTCTGTATGAACTATGTTGATTAACTTACACATCTTTTACATGAAAAAAGTACATAGCTATAAAAACCTATTCAAAATTAATAATGTTACACAAAAAACACATCTGTACTTTCTGACAAATACCTCTTCCCTGGCTTTTTTTTCCTTATCACACTCTCCTCTTAGTCTCTCTAAAAATAAAGCAAAAACTTCACTTCCAATTGAAGGTAACAATTTTTGGAAGGGGGAATAGGTTGAAGTTTTATCAATGGTGGATAATCATATGTACATCTCAATGGTTTCTTTTTTTTTTCTTTTTTTTTCCAGAAAGAAGGGAGGGAAGAAATGAAATTGTAAATAAATTCTTGCGGTGCAATTGAAGCTCTAAAATGGGAAATAAGAGTAGTTCCAAAGGATAAATTTACACACACTTCTTAAATACAATTAGGTTCTCATATTAAAAAACAAAAACTGTTCCATTTGCTCCCATGAGCATTAAAGAATCCAGACAGAATAACATTTTCATTTACAATTGATGAAAGACTCACTCTTACCAAGTTCAACCCTTGTGTTATCCACATCCCCTTGAAGCATTGCTTCTAGACTGTCCTTTGCAACTTGTTCTGCCATCACACGATCCTTCAGGAAAGCCACCTTAAAATAATACAAAACAGTTCATACACAAGAGTAGACAGGGAATCCCTTTTCTAGCACCACTCAAACTGCTACACATCAGCACACATTTGAATTTTAAGAAAATATATCCACTCCAGGGATGGTTTGCTCCACCAACATGGTGAAGTCTTCATCATTTCATGGGATCATCATGGCAAGCATAACATCACATGAACATTACTTTACAAAACAAGCTCATTTGTTGTTGATTTCTTCTCACCTCACTTCTTAGCTTTTCCTCTGTGACCTCAGAAGCTGCTCTAATCTGCATCAACTGCTCATGCATTTCAGCCAGCCTGGCATCAGAGTCCATATGAGTCAGTTGCTGAATAGCATTGTCTTGCAGTGCAGCATATTCTGTTCTAAGCTGCGAAAGCTATAAATGTGCAAATCCCATCAAATTATAAACATGCACAAAAATATTCCAACAATGACATGTGTTGTAGTGTATAGTGTTTAACAACTTGAAGCAAAGGGATAAATAATTAACAGCAATAGAGATACATAAATAAATATAATTAAAAAACACTAGACAAAGCAAAACAGCTTGTACAATTTATCAAATGTGTAAATTGGACAAAGTCGTTGCCAGGGTTACCTCCTGCATCAACTGATCCCTTGAGGTTACAAGCTTTGCCTACAGAGGAAATAAGCAAATTTGTTCATCATGTTCAGTATCACTTTCAAACAACTGGTAAAGCCAACAAAATTGTCTGCAAAGACTTTCATTTAACTGTGTTAGACTAAAAACTTTAAACAACCTTGAAAAAAGTTGATGATTATGCAATCCTTACAATTTGAGTTTGGGTGCCATGTTTAGTTGCCTCAAAGTTCTCCCTTAGCCCAGCAATCAATTTTTCCAACTTATTGTTTGTCATTGCATGATTGTTGATTTGCATCTGTGCATCCTCTGCAGCACTTGACACACTCTCCTCCAACTTGCTTCTCATCTTTTGTTCTTTAAACAATTCCTTCTATTAAAAAAAAAAGTAAGTTTTGGGAATATGTAATTGAAAGGAGGAATAAAATTATAGCCCTAAAACAGAACTGTCTGGGTGTTTCTACCACTTTGACTTCTTGCCATTTATCTTTATTTTCCAGGCTTTTCCAAAGAGAAAGATATTTTTGGTAGTTCATAGATACCAATGAACACGTAAAATTAACCATAACTAATTTCTGATCAGACTAACTAATTGAGTTCAAGTAAAACAGCAAGAATTATTACAATTTGCAGCACATTTTTAATTAAATTAATAAGCAACTTTTTAACATTTGGTAGAGATTGTACCTTTTCTTGATCCAGAGCCACTTGTAAATTAGATGCCAAGTTTTGAAACTTCTGATTTTCATCCTGCATCTTTTGAAGCTGCTTTTCATAGTTAACACACATGGCACAAGATCTGTTCAAGCTGCTTTCATGGGAAACTTTTACCTGCAGAATGCACATATAAATGTATATGATTGAACTCTGATAAACAGTTCATTGTGTCTCAGTTAAGACATGTTTTGAAAGAGAGAGTAGCTATGCAACTAGGAATCTCTTGCAACAGTGAGAAAAATTCCAAGAAAAACAGTTACAAAATAGTTTAAAGTAACCAAATGAATGTTTCTTCAATTGTTCTAATAGCAAATCATGGTCATGTGTAGTTTAAACAACTTTATTAGATTGTAATGGAGGGAGGATATATAGAATAGTACTGCTATATAAGAATTAGGGTCAGTAATGTTTGACAGTAGAGAGCTTGATAGATACATCACTAAGATACAAATGGATTTATAGCCATACATTTAGAATTGAATGCAAAGGATCAGATAAAATGATAAATGTTAAGCTCTCATCACTTCATCAATACACTTTTAACATCTCAGACAAACTCACAGCTTCCTGGAAATTCTTCCAGTCAACTTTGGCCCCAGATCGTTTAGAGGATAATGGAGGTCTGGAAGGGAGGGAACTGGGTCCATCAGCTGGAGGTACATTAGACAAGGCACCTGATGATAGCTCTGGATTTAGCTCCTCTTCAGAATGTGCTCTGGAAACCTCACTATTGTTATCTGAAATCACAGTTATTCAAAGCCTTCAAAATAAAGTTGTTGTAGACAGAAAAGAGTTCCCAACCATGATATGTATTGTAAAAAGCAGGACCAGTTATGACTTGGTTAGCCAATCAATTTTGAGGATCAAGATCCCCTCTCACAGAAGTGCTACAGAGAAAATAAAAAAAAGATATTTATAATATGTAGGTCTAGCTTATCACATTTAACATTACAATCAGGTCAATTCATGAAAGTAATTTAATAGTCACAGCTCACTCTCACGACTCCATGTTACGTCAGATGCTGAGTGTACTCTCTTTAGTCTTCCTCCATTGTCTTCCTCTTTTGTTGTTCCAGGAAGATTATTAATTTCAGATGAAACCTCATTTGTGCAAGGAACAGTAGGAATGCTGTCCCATATTGAACCAGATTCTCCGGGCACTTGTGGAGATAAAGGCACATGGCTAGGCTACAAGGACAGACATGAATAACAAGTCATTGAAACACAATCAAAAATTGATCAAGGAGAAGGAATACATTGAAGAATTTGATCAAGCCAATTCCATATCATGATGAAGAACATGCTATGATAAATCTACACTAAAGGTTCAGTGAGAGAGTGGTAACATGATGCCATCATGTGCTATACTGTCATTACAACTAGATGGGTGACCTGGCTTCCACCATGGCTGGCATGAAAAAGTAAACTGAAGGTAACTGAGCATATTTAAATTATTTTAAATAGGTTTAATTAGTAAGTATTTTATTTGCTCAAGGTTTATCCTGATACGATAAAAATTGAAACAAAGAAAAGTACACTTACTATGCAACCCTTTAACACTGGATACAAGTCCAAATTAGAGACTTATTAGTCAGGGAAAAGTTTGGTGACTGCACTTCAATTGATTTTTATCAAATATGTTTACCTGTTCATTAGTTGGCTGTGGGGATGTCTGTGGACTCTGCAGATCAATAAGTTGGCCAACCTGTGGTTGTTGTTTTTGTCCCTGGTGCTCTTCCTGTTGCTGCCCCTGTTTTTTCTGAACAGCAGCTTGCTGAGCAGGTGTCAAGACATTCCATACTCTGGTGAAAGCTTCACTCTGTACCTTAAGATTCTCTACAAACTGTACATTTGCCATCTCCCATGTCTGCTTTAAATCATTGTGTGACATTTTTTCTTGCTCTAACAGTCTACAGACTGAAGGAAATATGAAAATTTTTAATCGGTACCATTTGACAACAACTGACTCCATTTGCAGTATAAAAGAAAAAAAAATGACTATTTACCTACTTAGAAAAGCTATAATGGGGATTAGTGGGTTGCTGATGACAACTGACATTTGAACATATTGTTATCTTCAAACTTACCATTGTGAAGCTCTTTTCTTAATTTCTCAGAGTCTTCTTGCAAAACCCCTACAGAATCAATCACAACTTTCAAGTTAACTTTGTTAGCACAATTTCATAATCAGAAATTTGCAGATAATACAGACATGCTACAGACATGGAACAGACATAGGAAGGACATGCTACAGACATGCTACAGACATGCTACAGACATGCCTCAGACATGGTGCGGACATGGTAGGGACACGGCGCAGACATGGTATGGACATGGTGCAGACATTGTGCAGAAATGGTGCGGACATAGTTCAGACACGCTACAAACATGTTATAGATATGGTGCAGACATGCTACAGACACGGTACAAACATGCTACATACATGTAATAGACATGCTACAGATATGCTACAGACATGCTATAGACATGTTATTGATACGTTACAAACATGATACAGACATGTTACAGAATGGTACAGACATGGTACAGACATGTTATAGAGATGGTACAGACATGCTACAGACACACAGTGCAGACATGTTGTAGATATGGTACAGACATGCTACGGACATGCTATAGATATGGTACAGACATGTTATAGATATGGTACAGACATGCTACAGACATGTTATAGATATGGTACAGACATAGTACAGACATGGTCACAACATGCTCAGACATGTTATAGATATGGTACAGACATGCTACAGACATGCTACAGACATGGTACAGACATGGTAAAGACATATTATAGACATGGTACAGACATGGTACGGACATGGTACAGACATACTACAGATGAAAGTGAAAGTAAAAACTGACCCTTTTGAGTATTCAAGACAGCCACATACATCTCTAGATCTGTGCGTGATGACCGCTCAGCCTCTAGATATTGGTTAAGTTCTTTTACCTTCAACCAAATAAAAAAAATGCATTTGAAAAACCTTATAAAATGAGCTCTTTTTTGATCAACTTCCTTCAGAAATAATGTTATTTCTATAAGATTGGAACTGATCTGAGTTATTTTAATCTCTTGATCTAGTAATTTCTTTCTTTTTCAATGTTCGTAAATACCTTTTCTTGCAGCTCTTCAAACCTTTCCCTTGAGAAAGTTTCTCCACCATCTGATTTTTTGTCATTTTTTTTATTTTCTCCTTCCTGATGACCAAAAATGACAGTAAAAAGACAATGTTTGAATAATATGGGAACACAATTGAAAAATTGGAACTTTTTAATTGTGCTAGTCAAAAAAATACCCATACCCATACACATACCCATACCCCTGTACTAGTGCAGTGTTTTTAATCTGACCCCTGTCCCACTCTTCTAAAGATCTCATTTATAAATCCTATTTTCTTTATGCATTTGTGACAAGTTTCCAGCAGCACTCTGTCAGGGTTGGTATGGATATCATTTGGAGCTACAAATGCTATTACTAACAACACAACAACACACCTTAAGCTTGGCCTCTGCAATTTGCAACTTTTCTTGTAAATCTTTTAATTTTGCTTTCGTGAAGGATAATTCCTAATAAAAAATGTCATAAACAGGAAGGTTAACAAAAGTACCTATTTACAAGATGACCAATTATTGATGAACATTAACAAATTCCTTTTTTGAAATAATAATATAGTTCAAAATACAGCAAGATAAAATGTATTGGATAATTTAAAAATTAAACTTTGTCCCTTAAAAAGCTGAGTGTTAAGTTGCTATGATATATAAAGAATTGTCTTGTTAACTGGTATATAAAATTTTTAATGGTTCATGGTACAAACAAACATACAAAGAAATCAAGATTTTCTGTTAAGTATATCAAAATAACAACAACAAAAAATGGTTACCTCCTCTAAAGGCATAACAATTGATCTCCAGGCTTCTGCATCCTCTTGGGCCTTTAAAAAAGATGGAAAAAAGTTTTTTTTATAATATCTGAGGGTAAAACTATAAGCTGTCTGCAATTTCACTTCTTTTCTTTTTAAAACTCTCCAGGAACTGTATCAGCCTCCTCTTATGAAGGGGGCTCATGGCCATGTTCTGTTAACAAAATCACTATCATGACAGAATGTTTCAAAAACCAGTGTCATTGGTTTGTTAATGATACCAAGTTTTCATCATCATCATCTTCTTCTAATGTAGAGTTGAAATGTGGAGTGGGTCAACTGGTTATTTAATAAATTGAGTTGTCTCATCTTAACTGTAAGTCGAATTTCTAATTATACCTGAACAACAAAAATTTCATTCTCAATAACAGTAAAAGTAGTAGGAGGCCACATGTAGGGAGGTTAACTACAAACTTGTGGCTATATAGCACAGTTAGTGGTAGTGCCCAATGATGTACTCAGGAGGCACAGGTTCACATTTTATCACAGCCTCTATGTTTTTCCATGCTTCTTTTCTGCAATTACTCTGATTACAGATCACTTGTGAGAATATTTTTTTTCTTGTCAGTAACATTAACTTGCATTTACCTTTTCCATGCTTTTCTCCAAAGATTTTCCATCAGGTGATACAGCCTCATCTTCAACACTAGAATTACCACTTGCTGTAGTGTTCCTTCTTATGACATTGACCACCGCATCAGAGATCCCTGACAACATTCTTGGTCTGTTGCTACTCTCCTCTTCCGTAGAAAGGAGGGACTTGAGGTTTGTTAATTCATTTTCTAATTTTTTATTTCTGGCCAGAAGATTGTGCTTTTCTATTTCAAACTGTTCTGTAGAACTTTCCTTGGCCTCCCGCACAGACTCTGCAATAATAAAATTTACACAATTTACACATTGAATATATTCTCAAGGATTTGCCCATTTCTACATATTATATGACAATATCTGCTGATTATGTATTATGATATTTAAAACCTTTTTGGAGATGGTGAGCTTTGACTTTAATATCAAAACACAGAGGAAGTACTTCTTTGCTGTTTCCTCTTAATTAAGTCAATAATTTAACTTACCAGACATGATGTGTTGTAAAGACGCAATCTCTTCTTGGTATTTTGAGCGCATTGTTTCTAGTTCCTCTTTCTGAGATTTCTCTGCCAAAACTGCAGCAGCCCTATATCCATCACCCTCAGCTAGAACTTTCTGCAGTTCATTTCTAAGCTTCCTTGCTTCTCCCTGGATTGCCTGAAGCTTTGCCTTTTCTTTTTTAAGTTCCTCTGAAAAGAAAATGACAAAATCCATTTTAGGGTCTATCACTCAGTACCAACAATCAAATTTGACCATAGCACCTACTGTCATTGGGTTGACACTTGATATTGCATACTCACCGGCACTGGGCATCATGTCAATTGATACCGCAAAATTATTTGCCTGAATGACACAATTCATAATATTTTTGGTTTTTAATTACTAGCTAAACTGCTGTACTTTTATATTTCGAATTGTTTAGCAAAACCTTTTTGGCCTTTTGCACTGTAAGCATCTGCAAATGCAAAATCATATGAATTATAATCCTAACAGTGTTG